TAGGATTTTTCCTTTGTTTAGTACCTAGTACACTGGAAAAATTATCTAGAAGTAAAAATGTCATAAATTAAGTGTATTTACCCTTGATTTGAGTAGGTAAATGAAATGATTTGCCAATGGAATGAGTTGTTTTTTTTTCTTAAAATAATATATTTAGATAAAATGCACTTGAAATAGGACAATGCAATTGTGTTTTCTTATTTTAAATGTAAATTGTCTTGTTCCATTGGCAAAATGTCTCTTTTACCTTCTCAAACTAAGAACAAATGCACTTCTTTGAAGAAAAAATTACTTATCTAGATTTTGATTTTTTACAGTGTAGTAGCTGATCTTGACTGATTCAAAAATCTGTGTCTGAATCTCATATTTATCAGCTTTGGACAGCTTGAATCCAAATGTTCAATGTGTCATACTGGAAAAACGAAAGCTAGACAAGTAATTTTTTCTTAAATTAAGTGCATTTGTTTTTTAGATTGAGACAATTTTCACTTAAAATAAGAAAACACAATTGCATTGTCTTATTTCTAAAAATACTCATTCCATTGGCAGATCATCTTATTTACCTGCTCAAATTAATGGTAAATACACTTAATTTAAGACATTTTTTAGTTATTTCTAGATGTTTTTTGCAGTGCATCATCTGAAATGGTCACACAATGACCTCCGACCCCTCCTTAAAAGGTCTGAGCCTCTAGTCTCCAATGTTGGCGGCCATTAGGGGGCGGGGCTATAAATAAAAACCTGCTGTTGCATTACTCCCGCAGAGTAACACGTCAGGTGGAATTTTAAATCTCATTTTATTTGTTTACACAGCTTTTAAACAATAATTATTTGTGAAAAAAATATTATCTTGAAACATGTTTTAGAAATTTTAAAGCCCCATTTGAAAGGTGTGTGGATGAAACACCATGTGACTGTTTTGGCCATTTCTATGAATAGATAAACATGAGCAGGTGTCAGCTGGGCCCTGTACCGGGCCTGCCGGGTTTAAGGGGTTAATATAGTTTTGGGTTGATTGTATCATAGATCTGGTGTCATTAGAGGTAAACTTTAAACATCAAAGCTGTTTGTCTAACAAAAATTCATTCTCCGTCTGCAGAACCCCTCGAGGAAGNTGTTTTGGCCATTTCTATGAATAGATAAACATGAGCAGGTGTCAGCTGGGCCCTGTACCGGGCCTGCCGGGTTTAAGGGGTTAATATAGTTTTGGGTTGATTGTATCATAGATCTGGTGTCATTAGAGGTAAACTTTAAACATCAAAGCTGTTTGTCTAACAGAAATCCATTCTCCGTCTGCAGAACCCCTCGAGGAAGCAGGGCTAAGCCTGACTTCTAAGACCGCCCTCTCAGTCCGAGAATCTGCCCTCACCCATCGGCAACAGTGGAAACCATAGTATTTGCACTTTGTACTTTAAAAAAAAAAAAGAAAATGTAAATTCACTTTGTAGAAATTAGATATTTAAACAGACTGCTGAATCTGTGAATGGTGTAGTTAGCGTTTTATGTCCTGACAAGCAACAAATACTAAACACATACAATGTATGTGTTCTTTGTGTGTCTAAAAAGTGTACCTAAAAAAAAAAAACGGCGCAGGTTTTCATGTTTGATGCTACATTTTTGTGTCCCAGTTAACTTTCAAGACAGATATTTGTATAGTTTGCTGCATAGCATCAATGAATTAGACCACATTATCTGTTGTCTGCTTATCTGTTACATGGATTTTTGTAAAGCAGTTTGGAGGAATGTATTAATTAATCATGCAGTAAATCATCAAAATGTCTTACATGTTCACATATATTCATCTTTATTAGAAATAAAGAACTCTTTTATACATGCTGTGTTTTTTTGGTTCTGTCAGTCGATCGCGTCGCTTCCCTAAAACCTCATTCATGTTTTATAGCTTGCCTTGTCATATAAAAAAATCTCATATCTTTGTCTTTTTGTATTTTCTTATGCAGCCTTTATTAAAACAACTTGTCGACATCTTCTTTAAGAGCCAAGTATTAGTCATACATAGCAGAGGTTGTGTATCTTTCCATCTAACAAACGTTTGCCAGTTCCCCGGAGGCGACATTTTTAAATTGGAACAAGTGATGCGGTTCTTGTTAGAGATTTTCCTCATGCACTGCAGACTCATAAAACAGGAAAACTCGTTAGTACCAGTTTCTTTTTAAATAGAGAATTAGGAAACCAAAGTAGTTATGATTTATTGATATTTTTTTATTTCGTTTTTAAAGTTTATCAGACTGTTTATGAGCCTTTTGTTTCTAATTACACATTTATTCGTCCCTGAGGTGTAACTATAACCTAACCTCTAATGCCAATTTCTCTAAGAAACGTTTAAAAAACAGACAAGATAACGGCATAAAAAAAAAAAAAGGCAAATGTGTTAGACTTAAATCAGGATACGGTAAGAAAAAGTTATTTACAGAAAAGCAGCTTTAGGAAAAGAGGCTGGATAAGGATCCAAAGAGCAGTGAAGTGAAGGATGAGATATATATATATATATATATATATATATATATATATATATATATAGCTGGAGAATCCTGCAACAAATGAACGCAATGAGGTTTTTAAACTAGCAGGGGAGGAGGGAAACTGGGGAAAGCAAACTCTCCAAATACTATAAACATGAAACTGAGCAAAACCACAAGAACAAGATCTGCAAACAACCAAAGAAAACAGAATATATTAAAAATAACCTTTAATGTGGAAAAAAACCCCATCAGAGCAAAAACAGTCATTCAGTAAATGACAAACCAGCTGTTTGAAGGTTTTCATAGACGACAGTTTTTATATGATCATGATTGTAAATGTCTGGATGCAAATGAGACTTTAACTAAAAACGAAAACCTCAGAGTGGATTCAGCCTGAAAGGAGCACCTCATGCACACTGCTGAATATGGTGGAGGATGTATGATGCTCTGGGCTCACCTGAGCCCACCTGCCCCCACCCATCCTCCCCACCTTCTACAGATGCACCATAGAGAGCGTTCTGACAAGCT